GATGGTTGCTTGAAGGACACACACACTTCCTTTATTTATATAAATATTCCAAAATCTATTCCTGAATGTAATCAGCTCAGCAGAGACTGAGTCCAGAAACTCTCACTGGGCCCTTGAAATTGTGTTTGGGATAACATTCCTAGGGATGTTACAAAACACAGCTCTAAAAAACTCATTTTATGTTCTTTATATCAAACAATGGCTTCTTTATGTGTATTTGTTAGAGAAATTATTGCGTGACTCAAGAATGAATATATAATTGTACTTTTTCTGAGAAATGGGCTTATTTTTACTTTACAGACTATGAAATAAAGGGCAATAGTCCTTCCCTTTTTCTGTAGAATTTGTGGTCCACTCTAAAGCAGGTGTGTGTGTCATTGTATCAGGCATTTTTATTTTCATTGTTGACTTTAGTTGATCATCATCCTTGTTTCTATATTTTCTTCCACTCTGCTTTCCTTTTCAATCAGAGGGGAGGAGGGAGGGAGATAATGTGGGAAAGGAGGGAAAGGGTCGTCAAGGAAGATGTATAAAAGACCCATGGACAAAGCCAGAGCCGGGAAGGATGGAGGGTGGGAGGTGGGGGAGGGTGGGGTGGGGGAAAGTGGTGGCGGGAAAATGGAGACAACTCTATTTGAACAACAATAAAAAATGATAAAAAATATGTAAGTAAATGTAAAAGAATAAAATTTAAAATAAAAATTTCTCCTGTTATACATTCTTGAGTAGTTATTTTGGAGATGTTCTTATGTGTAAATACTCTTGCATGACTAAAAAGATTTTCATTGCCCCTTCATGCTTGTTTATTTGGCTATGGAATTTCAAATTCAAAAATATTTTTCCTTAAAATTGGAAGGCATCACTCCAATGTCTTCTGTTATCCTTGTTGCAGATGAAAAATTTCATGGTCTGATTCTTGTGTCTCTGGGACTAAACAATTTTTTTTTCTGGAAGTTTTTAATGTTTGCCTTTGTTTTTGGAGCTCAAAGTTTTATGAAGATCTGTGGGTCCACTTTAATTCATCTTGGTGGCACTTTTACTTTGAAGATTTATGTTTTATTCTGGTGCAGTAAAATTCTCTTCTATTTATTTGAATATTTCCTCCCATTTGTTGTTTATGTCCCCTTCTCCTAAGTTTTCTTTTCACATTTTCCTCCTCTTTGTCATTTTGGTAGGTATATCAGGAGAGTTCTTCAAGATTACTTTATAGCTTGTCTATTAACTATTTTAACCTCCAAAACCTCTTTCTTCTTCTCTGTTTCCTTTGTCCTATCAGCTTGTTCTTTCATGGGTGTGATATCTTCCTGAATATCTTCAAGGCACTAGTTAGAATTACAAAGAAAACAACCTCTTTTTCCTACTTATTTTCACCATTATCTCTTCCCCTTGGATTCTTCTCCTTTGTGCTATTGGTTTGTCTCAGATTTCTGGTGACTTATGGTTGCTGGCTTGTATTTACAAATGAAGGGCTAGATGAATTCATGCAGTTGTAAAGACCTTTATCCCTGCCAGGCCTCTCCTTTAAATAGGAGGGCCAGTGATGTAGCCAGTTCACAGACAGGTTTTTCTTTGTCTGTTCTGGCAGCTATAATAAAGTACCATAGACTTGCTGGCTTACAAACAACATAAATTTATTTCTCACAGTTCTGGAGTCTGGAAAGTCCATGATGAAGGCATCAGCACATTTGGTGGTGGGTGAGGGCCTGCTCCCTGTTCACAGACAGCTATCTTCTTGCTGTGTTCTCACATTATGAAACCAGCAAGGGAGCCTCTTTGACAGAAACACTAATACCATTCATGAGGACTTCAACCTCATGATCTAAATACCTTCTGAAGTCCCCCCAGTACATTGGGGATTCAGTTTCAATATATGAATTTTGGGAGGATACGTACATTTAGTCTATAATACTGTGGGTTAGTCACGTAGTTTGGCAAATCCCATAGCTGTCTCAGGAAGGCAGGCTTTACTAGGGCCTGGGTCTGCTATAGCTGATGCAGAGGTTCAGAACCACTTCTCTCTTGGCCTGCATGCCCAACCTTGGTTTCCTCGTTAGGCATGTTGTGTCCTCTTTTTAGTGAGAAAGGGAGGAAGCATGTGACCCAAGTGGCTCAATTATTATTTAATTATTGTGGTGATGCTCCAAAACTAAGGTGATTGGTTAATTTATCTTCCAAACTACGAAACTTTTTTTCTTCAATTTTGAAGCATTTCCTGTTTATTAACTGACCAGATTACAAAAATGACCATGGTGAATACCTTAGTTCATCCTTCTAATAAGCCTGTTGATCTGGTTCTCCCTGTTACCAGCATCTCCACCTTCTACAAGATGGGTGGTCTTTTCCTTCATTCCACCTTGTGAAAAAGATAATTTGAAGGGACACAGGAAGTTATTTTCTTCTTTGAAGCATTTTCCAGCAGTATAGATCTCATGAATCAGATCCTCCACTTATGAGAATGAAAGGAAACCCTATTAATTATTTTGATAAGACAATAAGCAAAAACTGGACTATTACCCTCTCCGCAGCATACCCTCAATCTTTGTGTTTATCAACTGAATTTGGAAGTTTTCTGGGCTCCATTGGGAAGACCACTCTTCTAATGTTTTTCAGTGAGAACTGTTCCTATCTTTTTTTCATCTTGATCTCATCTGATTTTAATTTTATTTTCTAGATTTCCTTTAAAATTTGTGAAGCTGTATTAAACCCCTTATTTTCTAGCACTACTTTGTTTCTATTTTTTTTTAAACAGATATTCTGTAATTTCAGTGGGACCTCATTATCTAAAACACTATTTTAGGTTTTTATAGTTTTGCTCTTTGTTGGGCAATCAGGAAGAAAGGGGATGATGCTTTTATAGCCAGAGTTTGAATTGTTTCCTCCAGGCGATGGCTGGTTGAGAGGTTGCTTCCTGGTGGATTCTGGATTTCAGAGTTGTACATGATAGGGGCAAGCCCACTCAGGTGTCTGGAGCTCTGGACATCAGTCTGATATTTTTCTTATCAGCAGTTAGGTGAGCTAGACTGGAAAACAGGAACACTCATAGAAAACTGGCTTCTTTAGATGGGTAAGAAGGAAGCCATGTGAGTGGATGGCAAACAGACCACTACTCTTCAAATGGTAGAAACACAACCATGATCAAAGGCAGGGTGTCATGTGTCAGGAGCAGCCCTCAGAGGTACACTTCATACTTGGAAGCTGAGCCACAGGGGCTGCAGAGGCATTTAGATTCCTCTTGGACTTTGGGAAATGTGGACAGTTCTTAAAATTAATGATGCCTGGCATATAAGGGATGGGTATGAAGATATGTTCCCTTCTTCTTTCCCTCCCTTTTCATCTCCTTCATCTTTCTCATCTCCCTTCTATTTCCAGCTCTTCTTATTTTTGCTTTCCTCTTGGTCTTCCTTGTCCCATCCCTAACTTGTGCTTCCAAGTTACTTTCTACCCTCTAGTCTCCTTTATCTCCATGGTCATATGTATCTTTGCCAAATTCAGACTCTTACTCCTATCCCTACACTTTGTATCAACTGTCACTTATCCAAGTGGAGAACTGTGGGATTAAGGGACTCCCAGGTTAGATGGTCAAGTCACTGACCTTGAGAATCCAGCATTGACATCTGGTGGTTACTTGGCTGACCCTCTTCCCATAGCTTTTATTATTCCATCATTTCCCTTTGGTCAACTTTGGGTGCAGTAGACATGGAGGAAGAACTTGGTATCCTTACCACAAAAATAAATGCTCAGCTGGTATATCTGAGGCACTATCTTTTCTTGTCCTCTACAAATTTTAATTTCTGCACTATTATAAACTTTGGATTTATTATCCTTTTATTTTGTTATTTGTACTGGTGTTTGCATTTGCTTTCAGGTGATGTAGAGGTGTCTGTTGGTAGCAGCTATAACAATTAGGGCACCAGAGAACATAGAAGGTGATTTCTGGAAGATACCAGTGATCTGGAATGACGCAGAGGGAGAGTGCAAAGACTGTGTTCACTAGCCTTCATTCCCTGAGAGTCCCTCCATAGGTCTCTATAAGTGTGCCAAAGCAGAAGAGTGTCCCTCAGGCCAAAGCTGTGGGCAAGCAAATAAGCCTCTTTCTCACAAAGCCTGGGGGTGTGTTTCAGTCTGCTCTCTGTTCAGGGTCCTGAAGATGGTATTCTGCCAAGAAGTGAATTTCTGATTGTTATAGTCCCATGGGGCTCAGGAACATGAGCTCCCCTGTCCTCCAGAGCCAGGTGATCTTGGGGCATTAGGCATCTTCTGGGTGGCTGTGGCAAAAAACCAAGGTCACAAGAAATAAAAACTGGGGCACCAGACATATATAGAAGCTCCCCTCCAGGAGATATTGGCATTCTGGCGTGTGTCAGAGGTCAGAATGTGAAGATAGTGCCCACTGGCTGGACTCAAGCAGAGGGGAAGTACAAAGGAAAAAAAAGAAAGAGAAAGCTACTTCCAGCTGAGGGTGGGTCTACGGGTCTTTGATGATGTGGAATTCTCTCAATGTCCAGTGCTGGTTATAAGTATCACTTTTGGCTCCATGGCCATAAGGTCAGTGACTTCACTGGCCACTTCCGTATGGTTTTGTTTGACTATGTTATATCTTATTTTATGACTGGGTAGCAAAACAAAAAATAAAAATAAAAATTCCTTCCCAGAGTGGCATTTCATTTTCAGAAGCTCCTTGGCCTTTAGGAACTACTTGAAGCTAAGAGTAAGGGTCTTTGTGGAGCTGAAGGGATGTAGAAATTGGAGACACATAGTGTTTTGCTTTATGGCTGGCATCAGAAAGACAATGAGAAACATTTCAGCTTTCCATTTTGGGACTTTCCAATACATGTTCCAACATTTAGGCTGGAAAAAACCAATGCCCTTCAGATTTCAAAGGAAAGAATTCTTGCAACCTTGACAACAATCAAAGTAACCTAAGTGCTGTTATTTTAATGAGTTATATGATTCTTTGGGTTGAAAATTTAATTTCATACCTAATTTCTCTTTCTCTTTAGAAGTGGAACGGATAGTGAAAGCCAATGACCGTGAATACAATGAAAAGTTCCAGTATGCAGTGAGTAAATTACACATGATGCACACGTGCTGGCATGGGCCTTATCCCTTAAGGGCAGTAGAATTCAGGTCTTCTAGAACTTCATGACTTCACTAAAAACTTTCTTTGTTCGTCCATTTTAATAGCAAGGCACCATATGTTTCCATAAGTACAGAGTTTAGCAATATATACCCATTTCTACTCTGCACTAAGAGTGATTGATATTCTTACTGGTATGGGAAGACACATTCAGGCTTAGTCCATTTTGCTGCCTGTCTGGGCACTGCAGTACACAGGGATGATAGGAAAGTGGGTCTCCATGATAGCACTTATTGATAGAAGTGATGGTGTGGCTAGTGGGTGATGAATGGCATTTTGGAATTTTCTCTAAGCCGCTCAGGCTGAATGTGGAAAAGTATATGTAAGAGAAAGTCCCCAGGTCCTGAATGATTTTATTTACTAAATTAGTGGTGACAATGACTAATTAAAATGTGCACTTTAAGTTGTACTTAACTACTTTGTATTTTTTTTTAAATGAGGGTTTTCTTTATTTCCATAAATATTGAGTATCTACCGAGTGACTGGAACTCCTTAGAAATTTGGGATACACTGGTAAACAACATCGTGAATTATATCATGAGCCCCATCAAGGTGTCCCCATCTTTCTATGACTCAACCTAAGTTGCTATGTAGAGTCTTTATAAGCTCCAAGAAAGACAATTGGTAGAACTGATTCTATAGGTGACTTGTGGCCTATCAGACCTGCTCTACAATTGAGTATGAGCACATTAATGAAAGAAAGTTGCAATTCAAAGAGGAATTTGATGACTATTAAGGCATAGAAATGTGGGTGTCAAGAGGCAAACTGATAGTGTCTGTGCAGATCCTAGCCAGGGTAGAGAGAATTTTGGCCGATGGATTATTTTTAGTATTTTGTTTTCATTGGTAGATCTTCCCCATAAATGGGGATGGGTACATTGGGTTAGTGTAGCTTAATACTAGTAAGTTTTAACAGAGATAGCTAACAGCTTTCTCTTCTCATGCTGTGCTAATCACATAAACTGTGATTATAATTTAATGTTCAATGTAAGTTTCCTTACAAGGGGTCAGTACACTGTTTCTGTGACAGATTTCTCATTATAAAATAATATAATGGCACCCTGATTTTATTCATCAATCTTGCAAGCTTGGTTAAAGTAAGTCTGCCTTTGAGAGAAGGAATCGCTCTCAGGAGGCAGATAAACATGCTTCTCAGCCTGAGAGAGGGAGGGACTATAATTTTTCATGGTGATTAATGGTACTCAGTGCAACTTCCTGACATGTAGTCATTTAACCCTTCTGACTATTACCAGAATTTGCTCCATGCTTTCCCAGCCATTCTACAGCCAGTCCTTTCACATGGAGAATGGCCCTTGAAAATCTAGACCATTAAGCCCTAAATCAGAGGTGTAGGCATGTGTATATTTTAAGACCTTGGGGAAAAACCGTAATAAGTAATCTACTATGGGGTAATTATGCATTTAAGTGCTTAGCTACATATACTTGTTTTCCAACATGTAAGTGTTTTCATTCTGTGAGTAGCAACTCTATAAGGGAAGTCATATTTTATTTGCATTTTGTAAGATGCTGCAGTCTTTTGTACTTATAGTTACTTTTACTTAATTTATTAATATTTTGAACTTACAGAAAAGCATAGGAGATAATATGATACCCATGTGCCCACCACCCAGATTGAGTAGATGTTAATAATTTGCCTTGATTACTTCAGATCTTTCTTTCTTTTAAAAGTAATAACATACCAATGACACAGAGATGGTTTTCTGTTGAGTTCGCATGATCCTGACAAAAGCACGCAGATGTGCGGCTGCGGCTGTGTTTTCTGTTGGGTTTCCTAACAACAACAAGACAGTAGGACAGTATTCTGCAGCTGCAGCAGATCAAGCAAGGCAGCTCAGCCTCTGAGTTAATACATACCAAAGAAAGAAAAAAAGCCATTATGGGCTGACAAAACCAAGAATGTCAACACAATTGAGAAAGGGGAGCTGTAGAGCCCAGAAGGGCAGGTCTAAAGGCCACTGCAGTGGCTCACACGGATAGACCAAGTCCTCCTGGAATGAACATGGGTCCCCACTGGAATCAGTTGGTGGTTTCTTGTTTTGGGAACTCCCAACAGGATGGCTGGTCATACTGTGAGCTGTGAGGCCTCTCTCAGCCTCAGTCTATTTAGCTACAAACTTGGGATAATAAAAGTACTTACTTCATTGAGTTATTGTAAGGATAGATAGAATAAGACACAATAACCCTATGAGCCACTCTATGTAGAGATGGGATTTGAAGCTGTATCCATCTGATTTTAGAGCTTTTAAACCACTTCCTACAAGAATTTTTTTTAAGGGAGGCAGAATCCAGTGCCTTTTGCTTATCTTGAAAGGTTATTACTCCAACTGGAAATGGGTTTGAAAAGACCTTAACTGGTCCCAGGGAGAATTCTCATAATGACTAAAGAAGTAATATTCCAACCTAAAGGCTGAAAAGGAATGGAAATAAACTGAGACTTATGAAAAAGACGAAAGGAGAAATGGTGAAGGCCCTGAAGTATAGTGGAAAGAATGTTTTGGGATAAGATAGATCATAGTTTGAATCCTTCCCCTCTCTATGATTTGCTGACTTGTGATCTTGATTTGCTTATTTCTCTGAGCAACAGTTATTTCAGATGTGAAATGAGAATTTTTCCTTATAGGACTATTTACTAAAAGATTAAGTGAGATAATTTATATGAAATAATTGATAACAGTAAGACTAGCTAATATATTAGATGCTTACTATGTGCCAGGTCCTGCTAAATCTTTTATACGAATTTTTCTTTTAAACTTAACATGGCTGTGGGCAAATAGTCACCATAAATTTTAGATTCCCTGTAAAGGAGTGGCTTAAGTGAGATGTTGGTGATAATAGTGTTAAGGAGATACTGAGAAATTGGCTGAAGTTGTGAACTTTTTGGTGGAGGTATCTTGCCAAAAGTTAGCAAATATGTGATACTGAAGGTGTGAAAGTTGCTGATAAATTATGAAGATGATGCTAGAGTACAGAAACAAATGCACCAAAAATAAGAAGACTAATAATAATTGTGGTAGTACAGACCACTTCCGCCCTCTTCCCCACCAAATAAGCCATATGGAAGTAATAATAATTCAGTGAGATACTTATCGAAGCATTTGATGAGTTTGGGAAATTTTCCTGATCCTCTCAGTTAACAGTGATAATAATAACAATAAAGTTAGTGATGATGATCATATGAATAGCTGACACATGTGTGGTGCTTATTATAGGAAAAGCATGGCTCTAAGCACTCTGCTATATTAAGATTATCTAATTTCACAACTCTATGAGAGAGTACTTTTATTATCTCACTTTTATGTATGAAAACACTGAGGCACAGAGATCTCACTTCAATGGCTTGCTCAGGGTCACACAGCGAGATTATGGCTCCCATTCTTATAGCTGTGAGTCCTGCCATGTGCAAGGTGATCTGTACATATGCTGATCTTCCACACAACAGAGAGACTGAGTGGAGCTTCATTTAGTAACTGAGGTCACATAGCTAAGAGGTGGTCAAGATGGAATTCTAACTCATATTGACTGGATTCCAAAGATTTTTTCCCATGATTCTATGCTATTCTTTTGGTCAATCCTGAAAAAAAAAACTAAACAACAACAAAAATAAACAACTAGGGGAGAGTAATGAGAGGAAAATGGGGACACCTGTAATTGAACAACAATATAAAAGACTACAAAAGCTGCCCTCCAACCCCCCAAAACAAAAATAAACAAACAAGTCTCCCAAATCTCTGCTCCTTCCCTATGGGTAAAGTTTTTAAATTCTGGAGACAAAGGCAGATAAACGTGAGACCAAATTTTACAAATATGAGGCTAAGGATGACTTTAAATCTTACCCTTAATATTTGTAGATGAGTACTTGGGAGAAAAATTCACACAAAGCTCAGATAGTGTGATTTCCACAAGCGCTAAGCTTGACCAAGAAAATTTTTCTCTTTGAAGGCCGAAGGGTATTTCAGTACCTAAGGAATCTTAATTTATCAACAAAGCCTAAAGCTTCAAAGTACATTATAGGAAATAGCACAGGCTTAAAAAACAACCAAAGTACTTTTAAGAAATAAGCAGTTTAGAAAGAGACATAACTTGGGGTAGTGAACACGCAATACAACATACAGATGATGTGTTATAGAATCATACACCTAAAACTTATATACTTTATTAACCAATGTAACCCCAATAAATTCAATTAAAAACATAAAGGGTTCAGAACATAAATGAAAAACAAGGTTAATGATTCTAAGTGAAATTAACTGGTGAATTAGACACGATATTGTGAAAACTAGAGGGATTTCAGACTGCCAAGATGTGTAAAACAAAGTGGATTGAAGAGCGGAGGGAAAGCAAGCCAAGTGCTAGAATTATTGTTCTCATTAGAAAGGAGTTCAAAGTTTTCCTGGTTAATAATAGGAATGAACAATGGAAGTAATGAAAACAATGTTGTATTAAAATATGTTAATGTTAAAAATGTTAGAAAAATTGTGAGAGCGGGCCAAGTAGCCAGACTCATTCCTATTAAAAGGAGTTCAAAGTGAATGGTAGTAGTGAAAACAGTTGTAGTTGTATTAAAGTGTGTTGATGTAAAAAAATAGTCAGAAAAATATTAGATTAATATAGCTGTTTTCTGATTTCATTTAAAAGTAAACAAATGGTTTTAGAAATCATTGGTTTTTTTACTGATTCTTGCTCTCCCTCTTTCTCACCTAGTCACAGGCACACTCTATTCTCATTCAAATTCTTCACAGAATTTGAGAAGGAAGATGAACTTATTTGAGTGATGAGAAAGCCTCAAAATCAGAAAATTTGGGAAAAGCTGAACATGTAGTAACTTTTATCTGAGTGTATTTCATGCACAAAGGTAGATGGGAACTTTCTAAAGGATTTTTTGTTTTTTGTTTTCCTGAGCT